TGAACAAAGATGCTGGAATTTGAATGATACTTGGAGACTTGTTGTGGCTTCTGCAAATTACTCATTTTTCCTATGACTACTTAGCATTTTTTAAATAGTTTGACTGTGTCTTCTGAAATGTTTACTCAATCATGTGAATGGTGGTATTTTGAGTTCACTGGGAAAGAAAAAAAGAAGAATTTTACATAAATTGATTATTTAGGTTATCCATTTCTAAACAAACTCTTAAAATTCCCAATAAATTAAATGCAAATGAATGCAGATGGGCACAATGCCATTTAGCAGCACAAATGACTGGAATAACAATTCAGCAAAAAGCACACAAGAAAGTTAAAGATGTATATTGAAGACTAAAATATATCTATATATAAATGAATAGGTATTTTAGAATCTCTTCTGAGAGATCTGGTGTTTTTGAATATTTGAAACTTTGAGCAATATTCTGCTTTTTCTTTATTTCAGTGCAGAGTCTGCTCATCTTCAGTGCTAAGGAGATAAATACTGCATTTGCCAATAAAGAGTATTCACACTTTTCTAAGTGTTCTGAACAAGTCATAAAGTGTAGATTAGGTATAATTTGTATTTTAAAATACATGTAAACCTTAGTCCACACTTTTATTACGAAACCTTATTTTACTAATAGTTTTTATAATATATTTTATTCATCATTAGTAGTTTTATATCCAAAACAGCCAGAATTTTATTTAAACCTAGGACATAAAATTGATTTACAGAATGTTTATAGAAAAAAATTACATTTGAACTAAGTAATTAGAAAATGGTTTAGACATTCTTATCTAGATAAAATTAATGTTCAGAAGTCAATACAAACATAGAACCTTGTGTAAGTTTTCAACACCATCCATATTTGAGTATTACTTTTTGAAACACAGCTATTTGAAAGTATTTTTTAAGTGAAGCATGCCTCCTCTGACTTGCTTTGAGTTTACTGCAAGTCTGTGAGTTTGCACACAGATGAGGCCCCTGTGTGTCCAACCATGACACAAGTATTTGTATGTATTTCTTCTGGAGATGCAATTCATTCTGGTTCACTTATTAAAATAGTTCCTTCACTTTTCCTTCTCCTTAGGGTGAAGCATCTACAATTATTCATTATTGTGCTCGGCCCCCACAGATGAGTGTGATGCCTTTGAGACAGGTCCCCAATGCAGATGAAATGAATGTAAGATCCTGATGCTATGCAGAATGAAGAGATTGACTCTGTAACATTGCTCTTTAATCACACAGTCTTCACACAGGCTACTTTCAGAGCGTGTAGAATGCATGAGAAACAAGCAACGTCTGTTGGTTTTCTAAAAAGCTGCATTCTTTGTGAGGAAGTGACTAATTGTTCATTTCACACTATAAAGAGTGTGAAAGGGGCCCAGCAGAGGAAGGCTGGGGGCTTTGTGCTGGAGGAAGGAAAGGTGAGTTCTGCAGAGACCAGCAGGGAAGTACTGTTCAGAGGGAAAGCGCAATTTGAAACATGCTAAGAAAACACAAGTGGTACTTATGTTAATGCTGTTTGTTTTCTCTCCCTGTGGCAGACTTACTTTTTGTAAAACTGCTAAAGCAATGCTGCTTGAACTACAATATATCACCTTGGAAATTCAGAAAATTTGTGTAAAGAAAAAGATGTCAAAGAGTTAATTTAACCCTTCCCGTCATCGTCATCAAAAGTTTGCACTTAGCTATTCATTCAACAAATATATAGCCCCACTCCCCACCTTGGTCATCTACTTAATTATCTCTGTATGTATTACATATTGTTTTCTCCTGTTCACTCAACTATAATCAAATAAAGATGTAAATGCAAACAATATACAGAATGTGATAAATACTTAGAAAAAAGAGAACAAAGAAGTACATCAGTTATAAATAAAATACTGCCATCCCATAATTCTTTACAAATTTTACTTTCACATGAGCTTTTGCTAACCGTTTGTTCTATCTGGATTGTTTTTGACTGATACATTACAAGTTAGGAGATAGTTATGCTCCAGTGGAAACAGTTCCCTTACATTCTATCTAGTTTGTGCGTGGTCCCCTTCCTTCTCATGCAATACAAGTTTTCCCCAGAATTCATGGCTGTCCTTCTGCCCATCTCCTAAGTCCCATCTGAGAGACAATACACATAATACCACTCTCACTATATCAAAATATTTCCCCATGTTATTAAAACAGGAATTGTTCATTCTGTATTCTAGAACACACCATTAAGCAGCAGGTTCTAACTGTGAACCCATTTCTCTTGACCAATCACAAGGAACCTTGTTGGGATCATTAACACCCTCTCATAAAATCACTTTGAAGTGCACTAGATGTAGCCTGTGGCCTGAAAGAAGGAATACACATTTCTAAATTCTCATACCTGGCTCTAAGTGTGGGTTGATGGCTCCTTGAGAAAGTTCCTATTATTAACATAAGCTGTTTTGATTTGTGCTTCTCCTCGAATCCCTACAAGGTCACCAGTTCTAGAAAGAAATGACTTAGCTGTTTATAAGAATACAGCCAACTGCATGATAAACTCCATGTGTAGTGGATATGCATGAGGGGAAAGCACCTTCCATTGGACCTGGAGATGTTAATTTAGCTTACTTCTATATGTGACATTAAATTCAAAACATAAAACATTTATAAATGTAAGGCTCCTATTTTGAGGACAGTTCTTGACTTTCCTGATACAAGTTTTGCTCTCAAAAGCTGGTTTAGATGAATTCGTATTTACCATAGGCAGTCTTACTCAGTATATCAATCTGTGCCTTAATGAGATTCCATGGAAGGCATGTGTGAATTGCCATGAGGGATGTACAAACCAAGACAGTATTTTGCAGGCAGGTAAATAATTTCCTCTTTAAATTAAATAGAAAACTCTGTAGCCACAGATCTATGGGGCTCATCCAGGTCTCTGTGATGTCGTCGATTCCGTTTCTTCTTTATTTCCTGCATGTGCTTCCACTTTGGGCCTCCCTTGTTGCGCTGTCTCCGCTTCTCCCTGTACCACATCTGTTCGCAGTACTGGTCCAGGCTGAAGTTTGGGCTGCTAAGGATTTGGATGTAGTCTTTGTATCTCAACCGTGACTCAGCCAATAGATCCTTGACCTGCCCCTCCTGGTGCTCTGCCCTCTGGGTATTTTCCATCTGTTCATTCTCAATGACATTCAAAGTCAGCTTCACTACGGTGTGGATGAAAGTGTGCTCCTGTGCTTTGCAGTAATACATCCCAGAGTCCTTCTTCTGCAGACTTCGAATCAGTAGCCCATAGTCCGTTTTGATGATCCTTTCATCAGGTTTCAACTGCAGGTTGAAAAAAAAATGTAGGTAATAAATTAGAAACAGAGAGCCACAAGCAAATGAAAACAGACCACATAGTTTTAGTTAGATGAACCTAAAAGATATATTCTTCAACTTTCTGTCATCAAACATAACATTGTCAGCCATAGCTGAAGATGGAAAAATAATCAGCTGAAGAAATAGTCCCCTGAATTCCCTACATTTGAATCTTATTAAGCCTAAATGAACTTTGAAACATATTTAGTTTTCCTCTCCAGTGTAGAAATAAGAATGAAATGCTGTGAGAAACAACGAAGCAAAAGTGAAGTTATCAAGCAGCCTGTGTGGATATTTCAGATGGAAGTCAATGGCCAAAGATCACGAAGAGTTTCCAGGGAAATTTACAAATAGCCACCGTTAAGAAGACGAACTCAGAGTGTGCAGTAGCTGCGATAGAGAGGAGACCAGTGATATTGGCTCTGCCTTCCACATCTCACCAAATCAATGATCTGCATATTCTGTGAGAACGAGCAGCTGAATTGGAAAAGCATGGCTAAGGCTCTGGACATCGGAGCTGTAACTGAGCAGGCCCCTACTGAGAAAGCTAGCATTGTTTAAAGCTAAATTCCCTGTCACCGTTGACTTGTACAAGTGATCCTTTGGACTGCCGCATGTGTGGAAATTTTTACCATAGCTGGGAAGACTCTGTCTAACACGGTAATGTGATTGAAAGTGTGAGAAAGGACAATGAGTAAAGTGAGCCTCCCCTGAAATGTGACGCTCGCTCTTTGCAGCAGTGACATGGACAATTCAAGTGGTAAGTTTGCCTGGCTCACAAACGGAGCGAATAATGAGCTATCTTCCACATAGCAGGGGCATGTTTACCAACACAAGGGCCTTGCTTAGAGGTGGGGTGTTGCTGCGTGGCTAGGCCTGAAGCAGAACGGCAACACAACAAGGACACCTGGAAGACTGCCCAGCATACACATCTGTCCCGGAATTGGAGACTTCTCGCTGATGGAAATGAAAGGGGCATAAAGACAGCTAAATTAAATTTACTCACAGTGGGTGGACTCTACTTCACATTCTTATGTGAAAAGTATGTAGGAAAAAATCTCTCTTATTCTGGAAATATGAGAAAAGGGAAAGAAACATCTTTGGCTACCAGCCCAGTTAACTAACAAGTATATGGCAAACCACCCTCGGTGCCAGAGAAGTGCAGCTGGCGGGGGACCAGTTGAGGCCAAAGGCAGGTCACAGCTCAGATCCCTGGTTAATGAGGCCGAATGGTCTCCAGGCCTGCCTTGCTCTGCCCTGAGTCCACACCATCAGGCTTGGCTTGGTTGCTTGTTTTGTGTCCTTTCCTTAGACCATTTGTTGAGCTGGATGTGGTTTTTTTTTTCCCTCCCACTGGCTACAGTCAAAAAGCCAAGGCATCTTAAAATGCTATTGTAATACAAACTCACCTCAAATTAATTTATGTTCTTAAATCACAGGAGTGCCCTGCCTAAAATAAACATGTATGTATACTTGTCAACTTCTAAAGGGACATTGTTGAACAAGAACAGCAGTCTCATACTTAACACAGAACATACATGCCTTCCTTTTAAATAACATTATTGTAATTGTTTAAAAAGTATAAATACCGCTGATCTCAAATTATATATATATATATATATATATATATATATATATATATATATATATATATAAATTAGATGCTGGTTTCTTGTCTGATTGGCTCCTCCTATGATTGATTGAGCCTACCCAGTGTTCTCCCACCTATCAGTTCCTGAGTAGCACATGGTAAATTTGGAAGTTAAAATGTGAGGTATCAGCAGCATTATAGCTGCCGTGTTGTATGGAAGGTTTTATTTCTACAATTTCTGCAGTTCCCTTCATCAAAGACGCCCAAGGCCATCAGCATGACACGTGGCTGGCCGCAGTTCTAGTCCAGCTCTACATCTCACAGATACCTCTGAGTTCTGCATCTGCCTGTTGCTCAGGCTACATTCAATATGTCCTTTAGACACGGTCACAGTTCCGGCTCGGTGCTTTCTCTTGTTTTCTTTAATCCTTAACAGGAAGAAATTATGACTGCAGCTTCATGTGCAATGGGCAACACCCCATCACAGCTTTGTCCTTCTCTTTCTGTATCCTGTTGATGATGCTCTGTCCTGAGGCCGAGTTTCCTTGCCTCCTTTTCATGTTAGCTAAATCCCCATGGGACTGTACATTACATAAACACCTGGCATTTCCTTCCTAGGACATGATCCTTCACTTTCTTTTTCCTTCCATGGAATACTTTATCTCTTCTTTGTTGTTGTTGTCTTCTTTTTCCAACAGTCATAAAATGTACTTTCAAATTTTTTGAGCTACATGAGTTTACCTAAGGTCTATCAGGTTGTTTAATGAATTTTTGTTTATTTTTCCAAAAATTCAAAATATAGCTTTAGTGCAGTGGAATCTAATAAATCAAATTTTGATTTCACACATTTAGAGGATTCTTACAATTTACAGATAAAAATCTGTGACCCAGAAGTTAAGTAGTTGATTAACATTTGCCTACTTTCCATCATTTCTCTGTAATGCTTCCATTTTGTGCTGGGACAAGCACACCCTCAGCCTATGGCTCACAGTGAAGCAGCAGCAGAGACCACTGGGAAAGTCAAGCTCCTCTCAGAGAGATCATTTCTGGCCACTGATTCAAATTCATGCAGTTTTCTCCACTTTAGAAGTGCTAAAGCCAAGGCTTCCCTAAACTGAAGAACCCAAACCGTTCTTCAGTGGGAGCCAGCTATCCATTTGCCTAGTGTGACAATGATTACAAGCTTGGCATTGTTAAATGGAGCTCTTCAGTGAAAGGCGATTCATTTCAAATGAGACGAACAAAGAAATGATGAAAGTCATTTAGATACTAAATAGCAGGTGAAGACGAGAGGTGCTTTATTCTTTATTAAGAGCAGCTGGAAGGCCTAAAGCATTCCTCATGCCTTAGAAGAAACTACAGCTTCAGGAATATTCCTTTCTCCAGAAAACAGAAAATATTACCAGAAGGGAATGGGTATCAAACAAGGAAAAACGCTCTCATCATGAAAAATATGAACATCTATAAACCTGCTGTATAAAATGTGTTGTATTTAAGGTTAAATACTGACTATTTTTCTAATTTAATATGGGAGGAAGCAAAAACACTATAAGAAAAAAATTATATGTGTATTTTAGGCTTTTCCAATTATGCTTGCATAATGCTACATAATGAAACATTTATTAATATAACAAAAAAGCAATAATAATTTTTAGGCAAAAAGCAAAAGGAAAAAATATTACTAAAGTAACTCGTTCATTCTTTTAAGAAATGAAACTTATATATTTATATATAACTGTTAGAATAGTTGTTTATTTTGAATAATTGTAAACATAAAAATATAAATATAAACAGTTTGGAGATTATTATTGTGTGAGAAGTTTCTAAGCAGAATAGTTAGGAAAGTGTGTACTTAGAAATAGGTTGATTTGCCTATATTAAATACAACACTTTAGTAGAAAAATTAAAAACTGAAAGAAACAAAAGATATATAATTAAGTTACTTAGAATGTGTTACTATTACATTATTGATTTCTGTGAGCAAAGTATTTTTAAGTGAGTCTGCTACCACTACCCAAACGATGGAAACCTAACATATTCCCTACCTTCCCCCAAAAAAATGAGTGGAAACACACAGCTAAGAAATATGAGAACATTTGCTCACACATTCTGTTATTAAAGGAAGTAAATTTTAACACATTGTGTGTGTGTGTGGTTTCCAAATTGCTAAGTGTTTCTTAAATCTTATATACAGTAACACTTGTTCTGCAAGGAGCATCTGCCTCCGTGGTGACAATGATGGGCAAGCAAATAGTATAGTGACCAACGTCTCCAGCATTTGTGTTTTCAGGAGTTTGTCCTAACTAAATAGAAAAGTAAATATTTAGATCTAAAGGGATTCCTTTTTATTATCAGAAAACATGAGCAACTTTAAGAGCTTCCATTGGTTACTGTGGACTCTGTTGGATGAAAGAGAGACAAAGGCGTGGTGTTTACCACCAACAGGAGGAAGCTCAAAAATCCTCCCAGGGCAATGAAGAGTACCGGAACTGAATAAACCCAAAATATCACTCATGCTTATCTGCACTAAGTGGTCTCACGGTTCTTTGTATGTTATTGCAAGTTTAAAACCATTTATTTGCTTTCATAACAAAAAGAACGAAAGGAAAACAGAGACCTACAGATGGAAAATGCAGATACTGGAAGATGCTTTTAAAACATTCAGCTCCACCCAGAAAAAAACAGTATGGCAAATGACATGAAGGATCACTTCTTTTCTTCGTTAAAATTATCCCCAAAGTTCAACAGAAGCTCGGGGACTGCCAATTAACTTGCTAGCTACAGCAAAAACACCATCAGTTTCAAGACCAGCGTTCTAAGAAAGTCAGCAGATAACTGACTCATGACCTCCGCAAAGCACCCAGCTGCGACGTGGCTCGGTGAGGAAATCGGCTCCTCCTGGTACAGAATAACCTGGTGACAGCAACTGTAGCCCAGGAGACCATGGTCCATCCCCGGGGCTTTTTATGAGCAAAGGAAAGATTCCAAGTGGCGACCTTAGAGTGAGGAACAGAAGGGCATCCTGCAGGGCAGCATGCTTCAAGTGCAGCCAGGATATTGCTCTGTTCCTCAGCTCAGGAAGCAGCACTGCGGGTCCTGGACAATGGGAAACTGCCCATTTGCAAAGCCAGATGAAAACACCAGTTGAAACATTGCAGGGAACATACTCTTCAGCAAAGTTCAATAAATGCATTATTTCTGCTCCATTGAAATTCATGGAGCATGGTACCATCATGATATGTGATATAGTGCTGTAAGGTACATTAAAACAACACATAGAAATTTCAGAAAAATGAAAAATCCAGGTATCTACAGCAGGAGGGATAAATACCTCAAGCAGTACTGTACTTTTCATTCTAAAGGTCAGGTTTAATTTGCAACGGAGGACAAATAACTCTCTAAGTAATTATATTTAATAAAAAGAAAAATGACACCCCATTAGCTATAAAATCTAAAAGTAGCTTCAACTCACATAAAATTAAATATAAAATGTAACTAAATTAAATATGCTTTTAAAATATAGACAGCATTCAATATTCTTGATATAGAATATTGGATAAATATTCTTGGATAAAGAGAAAAGCACTTTTATTTTGAAGTAGAATAATCATTACTATATCAGATAATAGTTCAATATAGATTAGAAAAATAGAAAGATAGGATAGACATAAAATAAATGTTGAATGTGTATATTCCCTGCCTAAGTTAGAATTTATGGTTAATGATGTCAAGGTTTATTGATATGTGACATCATAGAGAATAGAGTCAACAGGCACATGCAAATTTCCAGTTTCGTGTATTTATGTAGTAAAATTCAGTCAACAGAGAGAAAAGTGATGACTATTCTTTTATTTTTTCTGTTAATTTTTTTACCACAGACTTGTGATTGCAATATGTTCTGAATATTTGAGGGCAGTTATGTCAGGTCCACCAGGGCCTCAGGAGCATCCTTGAACTCTGAAAATATCTATTCTGAATTCTGCATTCAACCTTCCACTCACCAGTGTCTCTTATGTAATATAAGAACTGTAAATTCTAATAAAATATCATTAGATTCTTCAACATATTTTATTTATGTATATATGTATGGCCATGAGTGTAAGCCAGGCCACAGAAGTCAGAGAGGGTTTTGGATGTTAGATCCCTTTAAATTGGAGTTGCAATCAGTTATGAGCCATCCAATGTGGGTACTGAGAACTGAATCTGGGCCCTGTGGAAGAGCTGCCAATTCTCTTAACCATTCAATCATCTCTCAAGCCCTTTTTCTTGCTTCTTTTTATTCATTAATAATAAACATAACAACAATCAATTCTACAATATAGCCTTTTCTTCATAATATTGACAATATTAATCTAATATTTCTGACTGCCTAAAATAATCTCATTAAATTCTGTAACATATATGACTTATCCATGTCATAAAATGTTCATAACATATTTCAATCTCAAGTCTATGTTAAGAAAATTAGCAGGAAAAAAGAATAAACATTACATTTCTCTCCATTTACTTAAGAATTAATACATAAAAAAACTGAAAATCTGCACATGTCCAAATACTTATCCAATTTCCTCTTATGATACAATATAATAGAAATAGATATTTCTGGAAAGATTTCATTTTGTGACCTAGATTAAACTCAATAGTACCTAAAATTTAGTGATGTTAATATAGTTATGAAAATATTGTGTTCTCATCTATAATCAGAAATTGTCTTGAAATTCTTTAAGAAATAGAATTTGAAAGAAAAAATTCATGTGACTATATTTAAAAAATATATACCAATGCTACGTTTGCATTGAATTGGTCTGTTCTTACCCCCAAACAATTGTAACCTCTGTTGTTAGCATAAACTCTACTTTCCTTTTCTCTAACAGCGAGGAGAGTGCTCTGTGGCACTCAAGGCTGTGCAACTCGCAGAAGGAATAGCTTGACTTCAGTTTGACAACAGCATCCTAGCTGAAGCTCGCTTACCTCCTCACGATGTTCGTCTCCTGACCGTTGGATGTACCACTTAACAGAGGCTTGCTGGGATTTAGGCATACACTCCAGAAAGGTTGAATTAAATTCAATTCCGAAAATCACCTTTTCATCAGCTGTTTCATGACTAATGCCTAGAAAGCAAACATAGCTTTGGAGATTAACCTTGGCCTGATTTTAAAAGCAATGGGAAAATAGACTGATTGAGAACAGATGTCACCAGGGAAGAAACTTACACATTATTAAAGAGAAAGAAAATTCATGCTATAATACTGTTACCTGAGAATCAGTACTGTCCAACAGAGTGATGTTTAAACTACACCTGTATCATCATTTTACGCTTTATTGCCATATTACAATTATGTTAAAGAAATAACAGTTTACAATATGTAACTCTTAATATTGTATCTCTTCATTAAATAACTTTCTATGTCTTTCAATGTTTTAAGGTCATACTGTTGTCAGTTTTGGAAGAATAATTCAGTGTTTATTGACTTATACATTTTAAAAATGTTTTCATTTTAATTTTATATGTATTGGTGCTTTGCTTGCCTGCATGTATACATGCATACAATACCCACAGAGGCCAGAAGAAGGTGACACATCACTCAGAGCTGAAATTACAAATGGTTGTTAGTTGCTAAGTGAGTGCTGGGAATTTATCTAGAAGAGAAGCCAATGCATTTTACTGTTAAGTCATTCCCTTCGGACCCATCAGTTTATTTGAGAAGAGACAGAAGGACAGACAGACAGACAGACAGACACACACACACACACACACAGAGAGAGAGAGAGAGAGAGAGAGAGAGAGAGAGAGAGAGAGAGAGAGAGAGAGAGAGAATTAACTTAAATTGGTACACAGAGTTGAGCAGATAATCTTTAGAAATTTTGATGTCTGCAATCAGGGAAACAAGGAGACTAGTCCAAGCATGATGAGATTGTGTGACATGAGCAAGGTTGATGGTCTTACTGGGAATGGAGACCTTGTCTCTATTATCTACCATTTTGGTTTTGGAGATACTCTTTACCTAACATGTATTTAGTATAAGTCAGTTAATAAGATTCTAAGGAGTAGGTTCTCAGATATTTTATTAATTCAGCTACTCTATCTAAAATACATTCTATCCAGAGTACTAAAAGGTTGTGTTCCATGTGGTATATAAAATCTGTAGTTCAAATTGATCAAGGAGACATAATGATGACTGCACAGCCTGGCTCAAACGTGAACTTTTCTATCATGTATCCAGATATTCCATTCTACAAATAAACTAATTTAGTATTTCAGGCATCAGCAAAGGACTAAAGGTTATGAACCTAGGAGAATCCCAAAGTAAAGCACACATAACGACTAACATAAATATTGGAGAGAAAGGCAGAAAAGTTTTTAGATAGGATTGGTGGGAAGGTGTCTCTGAGGAATCGATGTATCAGTATAAAATGGCAGGGTGTGAAAGTTCATGAGTGTGAGTTCCTGAAAGACTACACACTGCTAGTTGCAGCAACACAAATAGACCCAAGAAGGACATGCTGGTCCCCTTTATCAAGGGAAAGCCAATGAGTGAACAGAAGGTGAGGGGGGTTACCAATGACCTGACACTAGAGAGTCTAACATGGTCTTATAGTCCAGGGTAAAGCTGTGGATTTTTCACTAATTATCTAAGAATCCAGTAAAAATGTTTCTAGTATGGCAACACCATAATCTGACTGGAGTTTAAAAAAAATTATTCAGAATATTGAGTTGATTATAGAATGACAAGGAGCCAATGTAGCTGCAGGGAAACTAGAGAAGAGGCTACTGAATAGAAACCATAGCTTCCTTGTCGCTGATGGCAAGAAGAAGAGGTGGAATTCAGCTTTAGGGTCAAGGATTATCAAGAGTTCAGTGATAAGACTGTGAAAGAAATGCACCAATAAGATTACTAGCTGCCTCTCAGTTGGGCGAATGATGGCAGTGTTTACTATATGAGGTGGTCTGAAGAACCTGAAAACAACAATTCTCAGTCATTCACTGTAGATGCTAAATGGACATTCAAGCGCAGTGTTTGAGCAGGAAGGAATGTAAGCATTCATGCCTAACAGACAGGACAGGAAAGTTAGCTATGAATCTGAGAATCAAGGAGAATCTATTGCTACATGAAGGAAAAAACAAACATACAATGAGAAAATGGAAAAGAAAGTTGAGAAAACACAGCAGGTGCAATCTGCAAGGTAAGAGGTCGACCAGAAGGACACAGTGCCACAGCAGTGTAAGTGTGCAGAATACTATCTCTCTGGGCTCAAGTAGGCTTGATTTGTTGTGTCTGATGATTTTCTGATATTGATCAACTTCCATTATTGACTCAAGTTAACAAGGGTGTAGAGTAAGCTCACAAAACTTCCTAACTGGTAAGCGTGAGTCTAGAGAACAAAGTGTTTCAAAGAGGAAAGAGTTGCAGGTTATATAAAAATCAAAAATAAAAATTGTCTATTGGATTTGAAATGGAAGAAGTTGACAGTGTCCTCCATAGGAAGGGAATAGGCAGGAAGACGATTTAAGGAGATCTTGTGCGATGGTTTATAGCAGGAATGGGACTTGGTGAAGGGAGGCAATTACTGCGAGTGCCTGAGGGAATAACTGTACTTTCTTCACTTTCTTTATGGCACTTGTCGTCATCCAACATAGTGTTTCTTTTTCCTGTTTTATGTTTGTTCTTTTCCCTAACACACATGTGAATGTCCAGGAATGCATAGATAGTGTTCTGTTCATTAACACATCCTCACTATGTGTAAAGGACTGAATTCATAGCCTGCAATGATGTTCACTAAACTTAACAATAGACATAACAGTGAATCACATTCACATTAGAATAAAAAGGCATACACCGTAGTCTGTACCAGAACACTTCCTTTGTAGAAGTATGAACTTAGGAGTTAAAAACACATACCGTGTTTTCCAATCAAGAAATGACTGCTGGCCCACCAGTTATTAACTATGAAGAATTAGGTCTTTTTTTGGTCAGTAACAATGTGATGAAAAAACATATTCTCCTTTCCTCACCCTCAGGAGTGGTGTGTGTGTGTGTGTATGTGTGTGTGTGTGTGTGTGTGTGTGTGTGTGTGTGTGTGTGTGTGCATTCAGGAGGCAGAGAAGGAGGATCTCTGTGAGCTAAAGGTCAGCCTGGTTTACACAGCTTATCAAGTCCCAGGGTAGCACGCCAGGCTACACAGTGAGGCCCTGTATCCAAGAAGAAAAAAAAAAAGTATGTTGTGTGTGTGTGGGGGGGAGAGACACATGACAATAAATACAATCTCAAAGCTGTCTATAGTTTTTAAATTTTTCCCATTTTCAATTCACTTACCAAGCCTCCTTTCTACCATCCTACCTCTCCCCTATTCAGATTTTCAAGATCTTCTGTTTCGTGAATCTTTTCTGCTGATCAACATGGCCTTTAGCAATCTCTCCTTTTACTAAATTCCTATACTAGTAATTGTACTTTATGACATCTCCAAAGGGCATAAGCACTCTAAGGAATTTCTTTGTCTCACAGTATACTCTGATCTATTAAGTACATATGGAACTTACTTAATGAACATTTACTGCTTGAATGTATACAAGAATAAGTGAATGTAAATAAAGTTCAGACTACCTACATTTTTTTTTCTAATAAGCACCAAAATTTTTTATCAGACCCTCCTCTAAGGTCTTTGAGTTTCCTCAGGATTCTCAAATGGTTGGGGCTAAATCCTGTTTTGCCTCTAACAGAATCCTCAAACTTTACAAGGATGGATAAAGCACTAAAGAAGAAACATGCGGCCGGGAGGTGGTGGCGTACACCTTTAATCCCAGCACTCAGGAGGTAGAGCCAGGTGGATCTCTGTGAGTTTGAGGCCAGCCTGATCTACAGAGCGAGATCCAGGACAAGCACCAAAACTACACAGAGAAACCCTGTCTTGA